AAAAAAAAAAAAAAAAAGATAAATTGAAATTGGTTTGAATGAAATCAAATTAAAAAGGCAGTGTGTTCCTTGCGCTGGCCACATTTCAAATGATTCCCACCCCCACGTGCCTAGTGACTGCCCTGTGGGACGGACAGTGAAAAAAGAGAACATTTTCATCATCGTAGAAAGTTCTGTTGGACACTGTTCCAGCGAGCAGCCCAGGGGACCTTTCAAAAACTCGGATTGCCACCCAGTCCTTTGCTTGTAATGTCTACTAGCGCCCCGTGCGCATAGAGCAAAATCCCTACAGAGGCCCCAGTGCTGTCAGGATCTGGCCTCTGCCAGTCTCTCTAATGTCATTTCTTCCTGTACTTTTCCCACTGATATTCTTCAGCCCCACCCCTTCTCCCTGTCTGTAGGATATAGCTCGTTTGGTCCCGCCTCAGGGCCTTTGCATCAGCTGTTCCCCAGGCTGCTGTAGATCTGTGTGAATCATTCCCTTACCCGCTTCTGGTCTATTCAAATGCCACCTCCTCAAGGAGGCCTGCTCTCTGATTTCCCATCCCGAAGCTGCCCCCCTGCCCCGCCTCCCAGCTGCTCCTGTCATTTCACCCTTGATTGTCTCCGTGTCGCTCATCACTCCCCGAAATCACTGTGTCTTTTATTTTACTTATTGTCTGTCTCCTGTATTGGTTTGTAAATACTCTATGCAGGGCTCTGTCCTGAGCTTCTAGAATTGGGCCCAGTATGTAGTGGGTGCTCACACAGTATGGGAACGTGTGGATGTGTGGGTGTATCTTGCACTGAGGGAATTGAGGCTCGAGGCTAGGGTGTGACACCCTAGCTGGTAGGACAAGAAGCCACGCCTTATCTTCCGAGGTCTCCCCTTCTGGGGCCTGTTTGGTTGGATCCACATTTCCAGCTGGAGATGGGAATTTGGGAGGGGTAGTTTGCTGCAGGGTTGGGAGGAAGGACTGCCATCAGGTTTGGACGGTTTCCCCAAGTTCAGGCAGAATGAGGTGCTCCGTGGGTGAAGGGTTTGGAGCTGGGGCCTGGAAGTGCCCACCTCTGTCGTGGCCTCTTCTGGCCCACCTGCCCTTGTTCCCTGTTTGCTTCATTCTTTCTTCACTGGTGTTTACAGGAATTTCTGCTTGTAGGTGAGCTGACAGTGCAGATACCTGGTAGGCTGTGTGCTACACAATTGCCGTGGCAAGTGGCAGGTGCTACACCAGCCTGATTGGGCCTAAAAGGGCACTTCTTGGTTTACCTTTGCATTAGGCATAGCTCTAGAGCTCAGCTGTTGTCCGAAGCTGCCTTTCGCCATGTGCCAGCTCAATTTTCCTCCAGACTGGTTTGTTGCCAGGCAGGCTCTCCCCTCCAGCCTCCAGGCTCACCTCCTCCCAGCTCTGGGTCCTGCAGAAAGGGGACAACTGGCTCTTCACTCCAGCAAAAGTTCTAGAGTTTGCTCTGATTGGGCTGGCTTGCATCACATGACCAGCTGTGAACCAGTAAGTGGCCAAGGGTGGCCTATGCTGATTGGCCAGGCTGTGTCACATGCTCAGCCCCTGGCTCCACTGGGTGGGGCCAGCACCCACATGACAGGCAGCTGAAAATAGGGGAGGGGCTTTATCGGGGAATAGGTTCCAAGAGAAAGAGTGGGTGCTGGACAGGCAGAAACTACATATCCATCCACTGCCAAGGGCTAGGGATGAAAATTGCACTGCCTCATCTTAGCACATGTGCCAAAAGAACTTCAAAAGTGCAAGGGAATTATGTATGTATTATGCAAATAAAAATTTTTCTTTTACGTTGAAATAGACGTATATACAGGGAGATGCCCAGCTGACACGTGCACTTTGAAATTCCACCAAGTGATGGGGAAAGAGGACAGGAGTGACCCCCCCACCCCCACCCAGTCACTGGCCTGACTGCTGGCAGCACAGCTTTGCTTGCCTTTGGTGTTTATGTGAGCGGAATCCTAAAGCATATATTCCTTTTTCTCTATTTCTGTCCTCTTTCACCCACTTCTGCATTGGTGAGGTTCATCCCTGTTGTTGTGGGTGCCCTCTTCCTTGCTGTATAGTATTCCATGGTGGGACCACACCTCCATTTCCTTTACCTCTTTTGCTGTTCACGGGCATCCGACGAGGTTCTGCTTGTTGACCGTTACCCCAGTGATGCTAAGAACATTCTCTCATACGTGTCTTTGGGTGCACCTGTGTCTGTATTTCTGTGGCATTTTATCTGAAGATAAGAAATACCCACACATTTCCCTTTCTGGGCCTTGAGTAGTTCTTGGGCCCAGAGAAGTCTTCCTCCTCCAACCTCTGTTCTGTGTAGGGTCCTGAGACTTGCTCAGTGGAGGCCCTTAGTCTGTGGTGATCCCGGGCAATTAGGTCTGCTTAGATGTGCCGTAAAGCTATAAATTAATTACCACTTATTACTTGGGTGTTGTCTCTCAGTCTGTTCGGAAATAAAATAGAAAGAAACACATACATGCATGCATGCTATTAAAAAACCAAGCAAGTTGGGCTTCCCTGGTGGTACAGTGGTTGAGAATCTGCCTGCCGATGCAGGGGACATGGGTTTGAGCCCTGGTCTGGGAGGATCCCACATGCCGCAGAGCAACTAGGCCCGTGAGCCACAACTCCTGAGCCTGCGCGTCTGGAGCCTGTGCTCCTCAACAAGAGAGGCCGCGACAGTGAGAGGCCCGCACTTGCCGCAACTAGAGAAAGCCCTCGCACAGAAACGAAGACCCAACACAGCCAAAAAATAAATTAATTAATTAATAAAAGAAAACAACCAAGCAAGCTGAAGCAAGGGAAGGTGATGGCAAATTGGTCCAGCCCATGTCAGTCTCCCCCTAACCCTGCCACCCTGGCCTCGGAGGCATGATGGGGCTTGTTTGAGGTTCGCCGCCTTCAAGGGCCTGGCTAGGTGACTGCTTCCCTTACTGAGTGGCTGGGGGGTCCTTGTGTTTGCTCTGTTGATCTCCTTTCACAGTGAGATGGGAGAATGGGAAACAGGGTTTTCCAGATTGTGAAACATTGTCCCTGGCGGTGCCCAAGACTTCAAAGGTCCAAAGACATAGCTTTAAATAACATTGACTTATGTGGTGAGAGAGGTCTTCTGCTCTCCGTTCTCTCTCTGTCCTGATCACTTCCAGAAGAAAGTACCTTTCTAACACTCGTCTGTCTTTCTTTTTGACAGAGAAAGAGAAAGTCTCAGGGTCCAAGCCTCACGTAGGTAACAGTCTCTAGTTAGAATCTGCAACATTCATTCTTTTGCATTGTATTTATTCCTATATTTATTTTCTAATTCTGGCAAGCATTTGCCAGTTATGCCTCAGATAGCAAGCTCCTCCTTTAAAATATAGCTGCTTATGTAAAGCAATGGCAGTTGCTTCAGAGAAGCACGTTATGTAACAGGGCAGGGGGTATCTGGATGTGGCAGCACATCAAAGTGGTACTAGGATGAATAAATTAATGTTGAGAAGCATTAAGGCAATGAATGTAAAAGGACTCTGGGAAAAATGAAGTCAGACAGCAGTTAAATCTCAGCTTTTATTCCAAACCAGTGCTTGGCTTTGCTAAGAAAAGCAGAAAGAATCTAGACATTTGAGGTTGCCAGACACACATAAACAGGAATGCGGGTCACCTGGCTGGCAGCAGATGGGCTGCTGGTTTTACGGAAGAAGACCTTGTGAGTTTTGTTTGTTTTTTCTTTCTTTTTTTCGTATCGAGGTGAAGTTCACTAATCCACAATTAGCCTTTTTTTTTTTTTTTTTTTTTTTTTTTTT